TTCTTCTCTCGCCTCTCCTCATGCAACTCAGCAGGCAGGGCACAGGTTAGGGTAAAGGAAAAGCCCCACTTAATTAGTTAAAGTTCCTTTCGGAGAACGGTGCGGTGTTAGCATTTGCAGCTTCCTGAGAGAGTTCCACCTGCAGCTCCAAAGGGAATAATAGATCAGTGAGATGGGAACCTTAGATCGGCTCCTCCTCTGCATCAGTAGCAGGCATTTGGAGGCAGACGTAAAGAGCTGGTTTTGATAATGAAGAGCTGTTGCTTTCCCCATCCTGCTCCAGATCATTCTGACCTCTTCAGTGAATGCAGAAGGAATAAAGCCCCCAAACAGCTCAAGTAATTCTGTGCTGAACTCATTTAATTCCGGCTTAGAAGCAGTGTTTGCTGGCACTCAGGAAGCCTAGGCAGTTGAAGTTGAGTCAGCCTCCGGGAGTAAGTTTGTGCCAGGGCCCCATCCCCGCTGTCCGGCCAGGATGCAGCCCCACCTCACCCCTCAGGCTAGCACCGCTCCTCAGGGCGCACGGAAGGGAGGAAGGGAGAGGCAAAGGCTGTGATTGTGGTGTCCCTTGTCCTCTCCTGGCTCTTCTTGTCCTCTATCCCTATCTTAAATGATAAAGGTAACCGGTGCTGGTGTGGCAAAGACAAACTATAAAAGTAAGTGAAACAATACTTACTGTTTTAGTCCCTAAGTCACTGCTCTTAACTTTTCCTTGGCTAGGAAATGTTTTTTTTTTGGAGAGTAATAACTAACATGCCCAAATCTGTGGTAGTCAGGGTTCCCAGAGAAGCAACCAGCAGGCTGTCTGTCTCTGTCTCTGTGTCTGTATCTCTCTCTCTCTCTCTCTTTCTCTCTCTCTCTCTCTCATCTCTATAGCAATATCATCTATTATCTATGTCTATATCTCATCTATGTCATGTATACCTATATCATTTATATCTAGATCTATATCCCCTTTCTCTCTCTATCTCTCCTGTATCTATATCTATAGCTGTAACTATCTCTATTTTAAGGAATTGTCTCATGAGATTGTGGGGCTGGCAAGTCCAGAACCTTCCCAGCGGGCCAGCAGGCTGGACATTCTGGAGCTGATGTTGCCATCTTGGGTCGAGAGGCAGCCTAGAGACAGAATTCCTCTCCACGTGCTGGGCGCTGTGTTAATACCTCTAACAAACAGTAGTTTATCATCAACTCCTATGAGCAGACAGAGATGAAGCTCATTGCTCCATTTCACAAGGGTGAGGCTGGGAGGGAGCTGGTGAGAGTGTTCATGCTGCCGGGACAGTGGTATTTCTGAGGTTTTTGTGGTCTTCATGGATCCCACTCTCTCCCGCCTCCCAGCTCTGCCCTGAGACTCTGTCCCCAGGCTGCATCTTTTCTTGGGAAGAGTCGCCATCACCTCTCAAGGCTGAGGCTCCTGGGGAAGAGCGCAAGAGTATCTTTTTAGTGGAGATGAGATTTTTGCTGCTGAACAAATACAGATGGTGCTTTGGGCTATTACCTTGCCTCTTGCTAAGAGCACAAGGCTGGGGAGGCCTGGTCACTGCCCACATGAGTTTGAGACAGGCACGTGCTCACCAGCAGCCCGTTTCTGGGCCTGGGAGGCTGGATGACATCCTGGCCTGGAGCCAGCGCAGCTCCTCCAGACAGCGGTGGTTGTGGAAGGAACAGAGAAGGGTGTGGTCACTGTGTCTCGCTGATCCCCATATCACCAGGCTGACTCCTGGTGGTGACACAGCCAGCCACAGGCGGGCCCTCAGGCCTTCTTCCTCACTGCAGGATTGACCATGGTTTTGAATGTCATGGGAAGTAGCAAAGAGCATTTCCACAAGAGCTTAAGGTGATGATGGATAGAGAGAACCATGGAGAATTTCAGAAAGAGCCAGCCAAGAAAAATTGGTCTAGTAAAAAACTTGGTCTAACCAAAGTCTCCAGTTTCTGATCTGTGTGATCCATGGCTCTCTCACGCCCAGACTTCTCTAATCCGCAAGGCGTGCCAATCCCACCTCCAAAATCTAGCTTGACTCCATCCACCTTTGATGTGACTGTTCCCACTGGGTCTCCATTGACCTCTCAACCATGATTCCCTTCTCAAAGCCCTTCTCCAGAGAGCTCCAGCCATCCTGGTCTTCAATGAGTTCCCGGAGCATGCAAGCACTTGTTGCCCCAGGGCCTTTGCACATACCTTCTGTCTCCCTGGAATACCTTCCTCATTTCCAGTCCCAGTCTCTGAATGGCCGACTCTTGTACTCCTTCCAGTCTGAGCTCCAGCTTCTCAGAGAGGCCATCCTGACCATCCTGTCATCCTCTATCTCAGCACCCTATGCATGTCTTTCATAGCACTCAGGATACTGGAATGGTTTTGTTTATTTGATTGCAAGCTTATCAGCCAACTCATATCCCAGCCCTCTTGGAACTTAGAGGCAGCAATGTTCTTTAAACAGATAGCTAGTCAATTAGTTATATAAAATGGGGAAGGCAAATAAAGGCACAGTGAGGGATGAGGTGGGGGAGGATGTGATTTAGACTGGACAGTTAGAGAAGGTGTCTCTGATTAAGTGATATTTAAGGCAAGCTCCAATGGGTATGTAGATGTTAGCCAAGTGGAGAATGGAGTGAAGACTGTCTTACCCAGAAGCAACAGCATGTGCAAAGGTCCTGAAGCAGGAACAGTTTTAGTGTGCTCATGGGAAAAATGTTGGCATGGATAAAGCATGGTGAGTGGGCAGATGTGCCAGGTGCCAGGCAGGAAGGCAGGGGTCAGAGTTTGCATTTGTTAAAAATCACCAGCATAATGATACTTACATATATTCCATGCTACTGCTTGTTAGACCCTGAGCTAAATGCTTCACACAGTTCTTTGAATTCTTACAACCACGGTCTGATTCTTATCAGGGTTTAGATGAAGAATCTGAGTCTCCCAAAGGCCACAGGACATGCCAAGAGCCCCACCCCACTGCCTGCAGGGGCAAATTCCGATTTGAACCCAGGACTCCAAAGTTTTTCAACACTCAGAACACTTGCATTGAGTTCCAAAATCAAGTGATTTTGCCCCAGCATCCAAGGCCACTTGGGGTGTGGGGAGGGTCAAGCTCCCCGACAATCCACCCTCAACCCAGCTTTCTGCTCAGCCCTAATTCATACTTTGTCATGCATTTGAATGCTCCATTATTTCCTTCCCCCTAGAATGCTCTGAAATTTTCCCATTTCCTTGTTAAATAAAAGATGAGAAGCAGATAATCAAATCCAGATGCCCTCAAGGCCTTTGATGTCACCTGCCAATTTTTCTCTTGGTCATTTTTTCCCCTTTAAACAAAACAAAAGTGACGGTTTGATGGTTCGGAGCAAGAGGCCATATTCAAATGGTGTCATTGCTTGTCTGGCCTCACTGTGTTTTATTCAGTCATATCTCTCCCTAGATACAGGGCTTGGATTTAATATTACAGTGATTTTTCAAATACCTCTCCAATGCCAAGGTCCTTTCCAGAACCACTCCTTTGAGAGGAAGAAGCAAACCCACTCTATGACCTTTTTTCTTAGCATGAGAACTGGGTGTGGATCAAGCACACTTAGTAGTAGTCTCCCCCAAAAGCAAGAGGCTCTTTATCTGGGTGACTTGGCTCTCTGGAGACATTTGGCCATGCCTGGAGTCAAGTTTGCTTGTCACAGTTGGGAAAGGGGAAGTTGCTACTGGCATCTGTTGGGTAGAGACCAGAGATGCTGCTTAATATCCCACAATGCAGAGGACAGCCCCTCACAGCAAATGTCTGACCTAAATGTCAAGGGTGCCGAGGCTGAGAAACCCTCAGTGATTCCTGTGGGACGCTGTCTCATTCACTGCAGTCACCAGCCTGATGCCTGGCACTCAGTGGAGACTCGGCACATGTTGGTTGAATGAATGCTCTCCTCTGGCTTCTCTCTGCGGGGAGTTTGGGGATGGCTCCCATCTGCTGCTCCATCTGCATCTCCCGTCCTCCCGCGTTCCTCCCCAGCAGTCCCCAGCCACGCGTCTTTCCTGTCCTTGTTCCTTTCCTTTTGCCCTTCCCTGCCTTCTTCTTCCCCATTTCTTCTTGAGCACTCAGCTCAGGTGGCACTTCCTCCAGCAAGCTTCTTCACCTCCCCCAGGCTGGTGTTCTCCTATAGACCCCATCACATCCTCCGCCCCCCAATCACAAGGCTCGTTACTAGGTGAAATCCATCAAGTTATTGATAGGTGTAGCTCCTGCCTCCCAAATGTCCTGCCTGTATTGTAATCTGTTACCTCCCGGCCCGCTTCCAATTCCTGCTGACCACCATCCCCCAGAAGTTTTTTCTCGGGAAAAATCACATTGAGATGAAGAACTGCCACTTCTGGGGTTGGAAGTTGATTTGTCTCCCAGGGCTGCTGTAACAAATGACCCCATCTGTGGCTTGAATAACAGACATTTATTGTCGTGTGGTTGAGGAGGCCAAAATTTCAAAATCAAGGTGTCCTCAGGGTCAGCTCCTCTTGCAGGCTCTCATCAGTGATGAGAGAGGATCGTTGATCAGCTGCCTTCTGCACGATCCAGCCTGCAACCCCAGCGTGTGCCCTGACCGGGAACAGAATGGTTCATAATTCGATGCTCAACCACTGAGCCACACTGGCTGGGCAATGTGGACTTATGTTTTCATATCTGCTTTATCTTTCCTACTTATTACCATGTATATAGTTCATATTTTAGCCATGGCACTGACCAAATCACTTTTGAAGCAAAATCATATATTTTTTTAAACTTACATACCATGAAATTCACTCATTGTAAGTACAATTCGGTGCACTTTATTAACTTTATAGAATTGAGCTACTTTCATCACTCCCTAGTTTTAGAATATGTCCATCACCCCAAAAGATCCCTTGTGCCTTTCTGCAGTTAATCCCCTCTTCTATCCCCACTCCTGCGTCCACCAACCTGCTCCTGTCTCTCTACCCATGCGATGGACCACTTTAAAGTCTGTTTTTCATGCAGAACGACCAATACTGAAAGAGAAGAGGTAACACTGTGGCTAGGGCAAGTGATTTCACCTCTGTCAGCCTCAGTTTCCCCACCTGTGAAATGGGGTTGATCACTGCAGGCTGTTTACAGGATGCGAAGTTGCAACTAGTGAATGCATTTTTCAGCTTAATGTTTATTCAGCTTAGTGTTCTTTACACAGCGGGGACTCAGTGAAGTTTAGACACTGCAGTCACCATCTCCCTTTGTCCTAACAGTTCTGTGAGGTAGGTGCCATCAGCCCCACTTCACAGATGAATACACTGAGGCTCAGAGCAGTGGGTGGAGGTGCTGGGAATGAATTCCAGATTGCTGGATTCCAAAGCCTGGACTCTCCCACCTCATCAGCTGCCCAGATTTCCAAAGACAAGGGCAGCCCCTGGTCCCAGCCTGGCCTGGTGGTTCTAAGTGCTCTGTCACAGTCCAATATATCAGGAACCAATTAGGGATGGGAGCACTTAGCTGCAAATAAGATGTCTGGGTAATGGTGGTAATGAAGCAGATGGAAACTGTCACTCAGCAGCAAAAGGCAGCTGTTTGCCACCACGCTTGGGTCCGACATTAGCAGGATAAGGACTAGGTTAGGGACCTCTGCTTGGTGATCCCTGGGCCCCCATCAGATCATCTGCCTCTGACCCACATTGTCCTGTGTCTCTGATTCCAAACACCTAATAGTTCCTCAATACATACATGGGCCTGTTGTATAGCTGGGAGATTGTTGCGGTGAGTGGACAAGGCTGGTATTCTTCAGCCTTGGTTTCCCCATCTGTGAAATGGGATTGTAGGTTGAGAATTGGCAGGTGCATCTCCTCTCTGGGAATGTCCTTTGCCTGACCAGTCTGCTCCCCCATTTGGTCCCGGCTTCCTCTGGGAACCTTTCCAGACTGTGTCCTTGAGCTTTTCACCCCCTCAGACCCCCAGGACTGCCCTTCTGTAGGACTTTCCATCAGTCATTAAGCCATCCTTTACGGACCGAACTCCCAGCCCCTAGTTCACAGTCACATCCCCAACATCTATCCCAGGGCCTGGCACACAGTAGGTCCTTAAGGAATGTTTGCAGGACAAGTAACTAAAGAAAAGGCCAGACACATGATTCCTTCTGACCTTATCCTATTCTTCAAACTTAGAGGTAGTAGCTTCTCATAAAACAATCCCAGCATGAGCAACAAATGGGAGTGAACAGTGTCCCCTCCAAAGTCATGTCCACCTAGAACTGTGGATGGCAAACTGCGGCTCGTGAGCCACATGAGGCTCTTTGACCTCTTGAGTGTGGCTCTTCCACAAAATACCATGGCCTGGGCGAATATTTTGGATAAGTGGCGTTTGAAGAAGTTTAAGTTTAAATAATTTGGCTCTCAAAAAAAAATTTCAGTCGTTGTACTGTTGATAGTTGGCTCTGTTGACGAAGGAGTTTGCCAACCACTGACCTAGAACCTCAGAATATGACCTCATTTGGAAGAAGAGTCCTTGCAGATGTAATAGAATTGAGAGGACGCCATTCTGGGTTATGGCGGGCCTAAACCCAGTCCCTGCTGTCCTTGTAAGAGGAGGAGATGACACTCAGAGGCACACAGAGAGGACCACATGAAAACAGAGACAGAAATTAGAGTGAGCAGGGACAAGCCAAGAAATACCGCGGAGCACCCGAGCTGGAAGAGACGGAAGGGACCCCTCTCTCGAGCCTTGGGAGGGAGTGTGGGCCTGTCCACACCTTCATTTTAGACTGTCAGCCTCTAGTTGTGAGAAAACAAACTCTCTAGTTTTAAGCCACCCAGTTTGTGAGGGTCGGTTCCAGCAGCCTAAAAGAACCAGTGCAGGTGGTCAGAGCCTCTCCTTGCCAGGAAATGTCAGCAGCGGACACATGCCCCGCCCTCGGCGCCAAGCTTGTGGTGCATATCTCCTGGGATCTGCACAAATGCCCCAGGAGCAAGCTCTCTGAGACCAGCGGCACTCGGGTCCTTTCCCCCGTTCCCAGCACCGCTTTCCCGTCCGCAGATTCTCCACTGGCCCACGAGGCTGGAGGTGGCCGTGGGTGGGAGGTGGCCCTTGTGGCTGTGCCTATTTGGAAAGCTGAGTTTCCCTCACGGAACACAATTGATACGAAAGGGATGCTTGCGGCTCAAGCGGCATTTGCAGCGAAGGCGTGATTATGAATTCCCTCCTTCCATGAATGCCTAACGGCCTCCTTGAGTTCAGATAATCCCTAGGGTTATAGGTCTTATTGGAACCCCATGGGAAGCAGTGCAGGTGTCAGATGCTGCCCTGAAATGAGGTGCAGCTTTTACCCAGAAATTGCCCAAATGCCTTTTGTGCATGTTAATAAATCCTGGTGGTAGGAATGTGCTGTTTTGCCCTTTCGCCCTGCAGTTTCTTTTCAAAGTAAAGAGACTAGCTCAATTCCTTGTTTTATTTACTCTTCCTGGAGTGGGGTAATTTCAGTGCCTGCAATCTCCATGCGGTTGGAGTGCAAGCTTTCAGGTCAGAAGTGGTGGGCACCCCAGCAGAGCGAGTCTGGAAGAGACAGGTATTTATGGGGTCTGTTTGTGTTCATTTCCTTTGGCCTCTAATCCTGCTCTCTGGGAAGATTGCTGGGTAGCTGTGTGTGTTTGATAAGTTCAGTCTAGCCTGGAACATACAAGTGGTTTTTCAGCGGGAGATGGAATTGCCTTTTAAGAGTTTCAAGGTGCAATTTCTTGGCTGTTTTCGTCGTGGCCCGGGATCAGTGTCAGGAAGTGAAGGCTGGTTTTCTCCCCTTCAGCTCCCAGAGTTCATGGCCGCGGTGGGGTTCTGGAGCCCGCACCCGGCACCGGAGCCAGAAGCTAGAGAGGGGCATGTGGAGCAGCAGTTCAGGAGCTGCTCCCTCTTGGGGTTGGATGAACGTCTGAAAACCAGTGCTGCCTTAAATCCTGTGCCCTTGGCACCTCGCTCACCTCATCCTAGTCCCGGCCTCCCCAGCACCCTGTGGGTGCTCCATAGTTATTTGCCAAAGGGACAAAGAAATTCCTGCTCTACAGACAGAACGTGAGACTGAGAGAGGTTAAATAACTTGCTCAAGGTTTGGCACATGGTGGATCTGACTTTGTGACTCAAGCCCACAGCCATCTTGCTCTCTCTCCCCCTGACCCTGGTGTGGTCCTGGCTTTCTTCTGTTCCCCTTCATTCCTGGGCTGCCTTTTCGGGGGAGCAGGGGGGAAGGAGGGATGACCTGGAGTTTGGAGAGAGTGAGAAGGAAACAAGTCTGTTGCTGGAAACCGGTCCTTCCTCACCCGTTCTCCACCCGAGTTGTGGGGAGAGCTGCCTGGCTTCCCCTCCCGCCATGGTCCCACTGCACATGGAGAGAATTGGCCCTGCGTGTGTCCTGGTGGCTCAGGTAGATCTTCCCGGCTCAGCATCCGTCACCAGAAAGGAGCTTCTACAAGGGCCCCGGTGTGCTGGCCACCAGCTCCGGGAGTTGCACAGAACCTATTTGCCTCTGGCTTGGTCTCTGGGAATATTCCAGTGGGGGCGAGGAGAAAGAGGATCCTTAATGAGGAAATTAGTTCTGCCGACACCGGGGAGTCTAGAGGACAAGACGTCCTCATTTGACACCATCCACAGTCGTTGGAAATGGCTTCCGGAGACTGATGTGGTTCTGGGAAAATGAGTCAGGCTGAAATGCCTGTTCACCCACAGACACTCCCCCCTTATAGTTTGATGGGTTTATTTGATGTTCAGTTATAGAACCTGTTTTTGAGATTCTCTAAATTACTCCTCCCTTCAACATTCAATCCAATATTTGGGCATCTGTTATAGATCCGGTGGAAGAAGAGTGCCCGGGGATAGGAGGAGACAGATTTGGAGGTGGGAGGATCGAAGCCCTCACCTTTGGGGTGGTAGCTGATGGTCTGGCAAAGAGAGGTGCCTGGTGTTGGGAGGGTCTGTGATGGAGAACCACATTTGGCCATTGATACCAGGAAAGCCTCTTTCGGAGCGTTATGATTGAATTGCTATCAGAAAATGTAGAAGAGGTTAACTGGGGGGCAGCCGGAGGCAACAGCATGTCCTAAGGCTCTGGAGAGGACAGGAAAGCATGTTGCATTGGAGTGAATGAGGCAGAGCAGTCTGATGGAAGAGACAGTGAGAGGGGCCTGATCACGTTAATTTCCTAGGGCTGTGTAACAAGTCACTCCAGATGGGTGGCTTGCAACAACAGAAATGTATTCTCTCAGTTCTGGAGGCCAGGCGTCTGAGGTGTCAGCAGGAGCTGCCCCCCCCCCCCCAAAAAAAGAGGCACAATTGGAGACTACTTCCATGCCTCTTCCAGCTTCTGGTGGCTTCAGGTGTTCCTTTGCTTGTGATCGCATCCCTCCACTCTACTTCCACCTTCAGCTGGCCTTCCCCTCTGTGTCTTCTCTTCTGTGTGACCTTTCCCGCTGCCTTCTCTTATAAGGACACTTGTCATTGGATTTAGGGCCTAGCTGGACAATCCAGGATTATTTTACCTCAAGATTCCTAACTGAATTAAACCTACCAGTCCCCGCCCCCCCGCCGCCCCTCCCCTCCCCCGCAAATAAGGCAACCTTCGTAAGTCCCTTGGATATATCCTTTGGGAAGAGGTATTATTCAGAGGTGGTATTAAAGAATTTGATATTTATTTTATGAGCCCCCCCCAAGCAAAGATGTGGTGTGACCAGCTTTAAACTTTTAAAACGTTTCCTATAGCACGGAGAGAGGACTGGTGAGCCTTCAGGAGCACTAAGAGGTTTTTTCTTCATCACCTGGTGAGAGAGATTGGGGGCTTGTCCTGGAGTGGTGGAGGGAGGGGTGCTGAAAGCAAATGGAGGTAAACTGGACGACCCTTTTTATCATCCAGAGCCAGGTATTCAGAGTTGCCCTGTGTGATGGCACTGGCGCTGAGTTGTACAAAGCCCGGTAAGAGGACGTTCCAGCCATTGGAGTAGTGCCGACATTTGCTCCCACACAACGGTTCCCTCATTCTGTGGCTTTCCTGTAAATAAATGTCTTCATCAGTGCAGTTA